ATGCTTGACCATATTTCAACTATGTCCGATCGAATATCACCTTGCATACAAATAATTTGATCAATCTTGATGTTCCTGTGTCCCTTTAAGAATGATAACTGTGACTTCACATCGTTAAGCTACACTGTCAAATTGATATTCTTACACTGGAGTTCGGTGATTTGGCCACTCAGCTCTTTTCTCAACGGGTCAACCACCTGTAATGGTTCAGTGCAAATGCCTTCAATGAGAATGACTGTGACCTATGTGACATATTATTCATGCCTTGTATCTTTCACACACATAAATAAATGAACTTATATCTAGTTGTGGTGAACATCAGCACGTGTTTCCTGCGGCTTTATTAGAGTATTGATGTCAGGCCTTTCTGACTCTATCGGACAATATTCCTATGTTGTGTATTCTTTGACTGGTGGGTGAAAATACGTTGATGTCTTCTGTCTTTTCGGTGGTGTATCGATAAAATCGTCATCGTCGTCAGATTCAACATCACTTGAATGACCTTTTTGTCCATCTGTAATTATTAACAAACGCGTGGTGGACATATGAGATAGCCGCACTCGTATCTTCATGGCCTGGATCTTGAGAGAAAATGTCTCCTAGTGTGTGTGGTTGGATTGGTTTGTTGTATGGAACACCACTCATAAATGGAGCTGCCATCTCACACTCAGATGGGGTAATGTAACTTGTGTCAATTTGTAATCATGATATAATTGGCTAACATATTAGTCATCTAACCATACATTGATTATCAATGACTGTGATCTAAACATGTTAGATGACATTATTGTGTTCGGAGAAACATCATGGATTATGCTTGTGGTTCATGTGTGTGATTTGTGAATGCACACAAATTGTCTAAAATGTGACTGAATGATGTAAGTTCGAGTTCATATGTGACTGAAGTGCATATAATCTGAAACCTTAGGACAAGATGATATGATTTTGTGATTGGTGACTAAATACGATGACACCATCAGAATGCTTATTTTTGTTTTCCATCATCAGTAACATATGGAGACCGTAGTATCCATATGGGTCTAGGAGCTTTCTTAACTGGCAGGCCCGATGTCGGTGTGGAAGGAGGAGAACCCTGCATGTTGAAAAATAATGAATCTGTTCGGAGAAAATGTTATTATATATTTGTGCAGACAATGTTGTAAAAATATCAGAATATTGTGACCTCTACACAAATTTGTGTGACCTACAACGTGTGCACAAGTATATTGGATAATAACACGTATGTGACTATTATATCTGTGACCTGTACCAAACATGTCGTGTTAACATGTCAGTGGTGACATATGTTTTTGACCACGCGAAAACACGTATGCCAAGGGATCTATAAATACCGCCTCCTCCTCAATTATGGTCTTCGTTGTCACACCAACTTGCTCTTCAATACCAGTCTTGTTCAGCACACCAACTATAACAACACCAACCTACTGTTGTACTTCTTTGGATTTAAACATATCATGCATGTGGACAATGGTTGAATTAATTACTTTGATGTCATCAATGGGGTCCATCTTGCATTTGCCTTTCTTGTCAATTGTTTGTTCAATGTTGGTAACTGATGTAATACAATATCAATTGGCAATGTAAAGTACAGAAAGCATAAAAGAATTTCACTTACAAGATTATGTACCTTATCCCACTGGTCTGCAACTCTAGCACTCTGGCCATACTTGATATTGCATCCATCGTACTTGATATCAATGCAGTCACAGAATCGGATAAAAACATCATGCTTGACCATATTTCAACTATGTCCGATCGAATATCACCTTGCATACAAATAATTTGATCAATCTTGATGTTCCTGTGTCCCTTTAAGAATGATAACTGTGACTTCACATCGTTAAGCTACACTGTCAAATTGATATTCTTACACTGGAGTTCGGTGATTTGGCCACTCAGCTCTTTTCTCAACGGGTCAACCACCTGTAATGGTTCAGTGCAAATGCCTTCAATGAGAATGACTGTGACCTATGTGACATATTATTCATGCCTTGTATCTTTCACACACATAAATAAATGAACTTATATCTAGTTGTGGTGAACATCAGCACGTGTTTCCTGCGGCTTTATTAGAGTATTGATGTCAGGCCTTTCTGACTCTATCGGACAATATTCCTATGTTGTGTATTCTTTGACTGGTGGGTGAAAATACGTTGATGTCTTCTGTCTTTTCGGTGGTGTATCGATAAAATCGTCATCGTCGTCAGATTCAACATCACTTGAATGACCTTTTTGTCCATCTGTAATTATTAACAAACGCGTGGTGGACATATGAGATAGCCGCACTCGTATCTTCATGGCCTGGATCTTGAGAGAAAATGTCTCCTAGTGTGTGTGGTTGGATTGGTTTGTTGTATGGAACACCACTCATAAATGGAGCTGCCATCTCACACTCAGATGGGGTAATGTAACTTGTGTCAATTTGTAATCATGATATAATTGGCTAACATATTAGTCATCTAACCATACATTGATTATCAATGACTGTGATCTAAACATGTTAGATGACATTATTGTGTTCGGAGAAACATCATGGATTATGCTTGTGGTTCATGTGTGTGATTTGTGAATGCACACAAATTGTCTAAAATGTGACTGAATGATGTAAGTTCGAGTTCATATGTGACTGAAGTGCATATAATCTGAAACCTTAGGACAAGATGATATGATTTTGTGATTGGTGACTGTGACTACAATATCAGTGAGCTTTATTTAAAAATAAAGCATTTACACACTTACATCAGAATGGAAGAAGACATCTTCATCCAATTTAACTACAAACAGTTGTTTATGCGACGTCCAATTATAATGTGGGGGTGCCTATTCTCCACCCTATTGTTCACAGGTCTATTGAAACTTGGAATGCATTCATTAAATCCAAATTTGAAACGCAACCTAAAAACCCTATAGTCTGTAGTGGGAATTTCTATGTCCCAAATCTTCTTTCAGAGATTTTATAGATCAAACAAGTCCTTACCCCATGAAATCCTCTCCATCACAACAAAATCTTCTACTAAAGAAAATGAATAATTTTTGACAACCTACTTGTAGGACGTAGAGAACAAGAATGACGTAATGAAATATAGAATCTCAATACTCACGATATCATAATCATCTACATCCGACAAATTCAAAAATACATCACGCGCATCATCATTTGTAACTAGTTTCAAATCCCTAAAATACGTTTCCTTAATCCTAGAAAGGACATTCTCAAGCCTTCTCCTAACATCCTTACCATTACATATAAGCCTTGTGACCAAACAAAACTCACACAATGAGAATCACAAATATCTATTTGCAACCTTGAACTACATCTCATTATGATTTGGTTGCTTCACCTCCCTCAACAAAAAGCATTGTATGAGTTGGGGTTGCACAACAGTTTTCTGGCAATCCAAGCAATAGGAAAAATATGTGTATGCTAAGATAACCTTCTTTTCATCAGTGAATTTCGATCTGAAATTTGCCAAAACATTCTTTTATCACGTTCGTGGTAATTTTACCCGAGAACCATTGGTCTTCGGGGATAATGTAATTCAATTCCTGCAAAACATTTTCGAAAATATGTAATTATATTTCAAACATCTTGTGCATACATTGCATATATTGTGTAAAAAAAATTCAATGACATGTCACAAAGTAAACACGATTCGTAAAACTGAGACACAGATTCCTCAATCCACACACATAGTTCACATTCACTTCGCATCTTCAAAACATCTTCTCATTCCATCACATATATTGTATAAAAACAATTTGAACGTCATGTCACAAAGTAAACAAGGATCGTAAAACTAAGACACGGTTTGCTCATTCTACACACAGAGGTAACATTCACTTCACATTGTATACACAATCGTCTACGAGAAATAAGACAACAAATAATAAGAACCATATCAAAAAACTTGCCAGACGCTCTATAAGTTTGTAGGTTCGGTCACAGACTATACGAATTTCACACACCACAGTCACAACCCATGTCACGAACTAATCGAACATCGATCATAATATTTTACACATTCAATTCACAGAACAAATAGTAGTCATACGGAGCATACCAATCGAAACAGCAGGTCACAACTAAACATATCCCAACGAAAGTAACACTATGTCATTCAAGATCACTCAAAAATTCAAAAATCAATTACCCAAATGCGAAGTTCACACATTATAGTCACACACCATAATCAATTTCCCATATACGAAGTTCACACACCACAATCACAACCCATGTCACGGACTAATCGAACATTGGTCCGACAAATTCAAAAAATCAATTACCCATATGCCGAGAAAGTACTCAAAACACTCACATTCTTCGATTTTCATTTATGAGAGTCAGGCGCAGTTCTAGGGGTTTAATCACGCGCCTCCTTTCCGACTTTTGATCTTCTGGAGCTACATTGGTTGCTTCTAGATGGACCACCGGTCTTTGGTTGTGACTGCCGGTCACAACTCCTTATTTTCGGCATTCTCAAACCCTTATATTTCATTGTTAGAGATAAATGAAGAGCAATTTCTGGGGTTTCGTTACCTGTTAAATGAATGGCGGTTTCTATGATTTGGGTAGGTATCGATTTAGGTGGATTGATTGTGGGAGATTGCACATTATGGTTAAGTGATTTTCAAATAATATTGTTGCCTTATTTGAAAATTTTATCTCTCCAGTTTTAACGTAAAGAACGGGAATGGTTATAGTTAATAAATATATAACAAATCTTAATAATTAATTAATTAAAACCTAATTTTTATATTAACAAACTTAATCCTTTACAAATGAAAATTGATCTTGTAATACGCTGTGACTGTAATTTTCACTTTTCACTTTTCACTTTTCACTTTTCACAAAAGGTAATCTAATGTGAGAATTGCACGTGTAGCTTTGTCCGGGCCGAAATGTGATATTCGGGCCCAACAACATCTACATATGGACCCAAAGAGAGTGAGATGACGCCAGAAAATGAGCAAAACGCACCTCCAGCGCATTTTAGCAATGGCCACTTTACGTCGACTCTACAGCTGAACTAGCTCAGATGCGCATTTTCCACACACTCACAACCTCTTCTTCCCCATAAAAAAATGCGCTTGGTTTCTCTATATAAACAAAGACTATGATATTTCTCTGAAAAATCCGATCCTATTTTCGAAATTTGATCATTTGATTTTTTAATTGAATTATGAATTATTATTTTTTTAGCCTTCGGTGTTTGATTTTTGAAAGCTTGACTCTTAAGGCATCTCAGGATGATGAGTGAATTATTTGAGGTATGATTTAAAGGATTTATAATTTCTTGGCATCTGACTTCATTTTTTACCCCTCATTTTTTGGAAATGATCTTTATAATTCATGTATTTTAAGAAACCGAATTCCCAATTCGCTGTTTTAGTTTAGAAACTGAATTTCTACGATATTTTAGGTTAGAAAGTGAATTTGGAACTAAAATAAAATCCATTTTGACATTGATTTTGGCGTTGTGCTGTAAGTAATGATGATCTCACTTTTGTGGGTATATAGGTGTTCCAGGTTGAAGACATCACTTAATTTTATCTGTATTTGTGGAGAGCGCTGTATAAATTGGGGAAATAATCGAGGAACTTTGCTCTTTGCATAACTATGTTTGGAAATAAATTAGCGATTGGGCATTGACACTGAGTAGTACGGTGGTTTCTTGGTCGTGGATCCTGATGGACGATACTCAGGAGGATGCTAGGTACCCGCCAAACCCTTATGGCATAAGTAACCAAGAGTTTCCAGTTCACAATGCCAATTATACTCGGAGTATTGGCAATGAGTATGTTGAGGACAACGATAATGATGTCAATGACGAAGATTTGGAATATGAAGACGATGATGAGGATGATGGTGGAGGGAGTAGTGTTCAGAGGATCGGTAAAGATGATTATGTTGATGAGGATGAGGACGAGGACGAGGATGAGGATGAGGATGATGATGATTATGGTAATTTACAGAGGCACCCGAAAAAGAGAAAACTGAAAAGCTTGTTGTCAAGTTACGAGTTTGCACCTCGAGTACCACCACCATCATCTGCGACTCCTGCAGTGCCTAAGCCATCATATGGTGGACGGAATCCGCATACAGATTGGACTGAGAGCGAGACTGTTATCTTACTGGATGCTTGGGGTGATAGGTTTCTCAAACATGGGAGGAAGAGCCTTCGGTCTGAAGAGTGGCAACAAGTTTCTAAAAAGGTTTCCCAGGAGTCAAAATTTGAGAGAACAGATACTCAGTGTCGGAACCGTTTGGATACGTTGAAGAAAAAATACAAAAAAGAGAAGATGAAGCTCAGAGAATCTGAGGGTTCCACAAGTAAATGGGTGTATTTCGAGAAGATGGATATGTTGCTGTCGTCAGGCCCACAGCAAGCAGGCCTATCATGTGGAGTGGACTCAGGGGAGAATATGTTCATGAACCCTAAAGTTTATTTGAAGAGTTCAAATGGAATGGATGAGATGAGAGATAGTCCGGGGAATTCAGAATCCTCCAAAGGTGAGGAAGGTGAATCGGAAGGTCTTCCTCCTAAGAAAACAAGGAATGAAATGGGAAATGGAGCTTCTCTCAAGCTGCTTGCTGATTGCATCCAGAAATTTAGCAACATATATGAGAAGACCGAGAACAGTAAGAGACAACAAATGCTAGAACTGGAAAAAATGAGGATGGATTTCCATAGAGATTTGGAATTGCAGAAGAGGCAGATTCTAGAGAGAGCTCAAGCTGAGATTGTGAAGATACGACAAGGTAATGAAGATAACGACGTGTCTGCTGAGAATGTCAGCGGTTAATGTATCTTGTCGTCATTGTATTATATCAAGGGCGTTATCCCAGGATATAGTGATGTATGTGGATTATTGAATGCTGGCAGTTGTTGTACTATGTCCAGGGTGTTAGTACCTTTTGGTTCTTGATCTGCTAGGCAATAATACTGATTTGATAACATTTGTTAGCGTCATAGTAATTAAAGTTTTCTAAGTTCATTCTTGTTTAAATTGATGTCATGTGTAATTGTTATTCTTGTAGCAGGATTTCTTGTTTGGTGAATTCTTTTGTCTTTTTCTTTTATAAAGTTTTATGTCAGAGCTGATAGTTGTTGAGGACTACTTTAACATTTGCATATCCAATGACCAGACACATGTAAGCATTACTTATTTTAAGATGCCAATTTTGATGCTTATGTGGTTTTTACTTAAAACTTCCATTTAATGTGAACATATCAAGGAGGATACTTGAGATGCTGAATTCAAATCTGTAGTCTTCACTGGCTTTAATAATTCATAATATATTTTCTGTGTCATATTCTATTTCATTTATTTGCATTGAGAGCTTCGTTCGTCAGCTTAAGTCACTTATTCGGCTCCAGCATGCTCTTGAATATGCAATTCAGGACTCTGCATTCAAATAATTTTATGCTTCCACCCATGCTCCTGCTCTATCAAATGGTTGACTTACGCTTTATTTGAGTTGTTGTGCACCTAACATCAGGCATAGAACAATGTCATCTCTGATATAGAGTATACCTTAATTTGCAAGTTTCATTAAGGTGTCTGTAGAATTATTATTATTATCGTGTCATAACTTAACGTTATTTGTTGCAAGATTTTTGTTGTTGTTGCCTCTTCAGATTTGTTTTCCTGGAAAAGTACAGTTGTCCATTTTTCCGTTATCTGAAGTAGCAAATGCAGAGCACATATCCATACCTCCTGCTTTGTGGTGAAATATCTTCCTAGAACTATGTCTAGTGATCATAAAGAGAAGAGGCTCTCTTTAGGAGCACCGAGCAAGGGGAAAAGTGGGAAATTTGTTC